AAAAATAAGACAATATCGAAATAAAATCAATAATTCTTATTTTCCTCTAACGAATTAAAAAAGATTGACTTACTTTATTGAGACAAGAGTAACTTATATAAATGTAAGTTTTTATATTCTTGCGTTTAGAATAAATTTTCCCTCCATCTTACAACGCATAAAGTTGGCACCACGATATTTGACAAAAGACGATACGTACTATTATTCTATTATAGATTTTAGAATTTTTTATTTAAGATTGAAATATTCCTCTCTCTCGCTATCTCATTAGTTTTTCTGTATATTAAGAAAAGTTTAAAAACTCTTTCTAATGGAACAGCATTTATCAAGTATACATATACACAGACAAAATTTTTTTTAACTAAGTGAATAGATGTACTTAAAATTATTTTTTTACTCAAGTAAATATTTATTTTATTAAAATAAAAATATAAAATTTCAAGTAAATTTATGTATTATATTGAGTAAATTAATGTAATTCATTACTCTCTAAAATTTGTGGAGTGAAAATACTGCCATGGAGTGAAATGTTTACTCCATTGGAGTTAATATTCACTCTGTTGGAGAAAATATTCACGCCAATAGAATGAACATTTCACTCCATGGCAGTATTTTCACTCCACAAATTTTAGAGAGTACATTTTCAACATTCAAATAAAGATTTCATGAGATATAGGATACTATTTATTAAATGAGATAATTGTTTTTGTTGAATAAGAAGTCCAATTTTCCTCGCTGTGAAAATTACATTTTATTAAACATTTTATCCCTTTCTAAAAAGGAGATGTTACCAGCGCGAATGTCGTTAATATTGCACAGCTGAGGCCTCTTTTCCGCGATGTCGATTAGTCTTCTCGAAGCGCGGTGTGCTTTACTTCTCTTTTAGATTCATAGTAAATGAAGATTTGCAATTTAGAAGTATACATTCGTATACACTAACTATTAAGGTAAAATCTCTAATCTTAGTAATTAGAATTTAAGTAACAACGATTTCTGTTTCGAAATATTTTCTCGATTAAACAGAATTAATCGTAAATTTAATCAATACCAGTAAGTCCGTAGAATGATACACAAAACGTAGTAACAGTCACGGAACAAAAAAGCCAACGAATTCTCAACGTTTGTTGTTTTTCACTCGGCGCGGTGACGTACGATGTTTTTGCGTGCCATTTGTGTACCTGAGGTCGCCGCGCTATCATTCGCTCGCCGAACGTCGAGCCGGCAGGCAGTGGCGAGAGTCGCTCCGTGCGTGATATTACTTTTGCGTTATCGGTTTCCAAGACTCGATCGCGGTGAATGCAGGGACAAATCGCTATTGATTTGCACACCTTTATCAGTAACAAGTAACGTTCCTCGATTAATTATTACCTTTCTACAATTTGTAATGAGAAACGAATTGTATGTTGAGGCGATTCTTTATCGGCTCTTATCAACGCATACATAGATATTTCACGAGACTAACTCATCTAAAATATGGATGTAAACCGTGGTACTTTGTCGCGGTTACATCTCGTTTACGCACCGCGCTTTTAATCATCTATCGATTTCGTGTAATCTGTTCCATTTTCGGGAAAAGAGAGACGACTTCGGCATTCGCGCTGTAATTCGCTTTGTCGTTCTTTGCAACTCGAACGGGCAGGAAATAAAGAAAGTCGCTTATCGCACATTGTTACATTATGTAAATGCAATCGAAAATTATCTCGATTAACTGTTGCAATTAATAACAACTATTTATCGCTGGAAATTTCGTTCACATAATTTATTTTGAGGATTAGATTGAATGACAAAGATTGTAAAATATCATTTCGTTGCGGACTAATAACTACTTTGCCGCAGATTATGCTTTCGATGCTAGCGTTGCGTTTTGTATCGCCAATTCAAAAGTGATTTATCCATTATCCTATTCTTCCGAATCAAAAATACAAGTTGTTAGTTTGAATAACTTGTATGACAGAAAGTCACGCGATATTTGTTAATAATATTTCGTGCGTTTCGCGGTATTTCACATCGCGTACGGGAGTGCCCGAAATTTCGCGCGATCGATGATTTTCGCGAGTGTTATGTGAGTGCTACAAGGAAATCTGAGAGGAGGAGGAGGCCCAGGTGGCATCGGGCAACGGCGGAAAAATGGTGAGGTAAGTGTCTTACATCTTTATATTATTTGCTACTTGTGCAAAATATAACATCTATTTTGTGTGTTTATTTCATTTATTCAAATGATTTGAACGAGGATTCGAATAAGTGTTAGAGACAAAACCATACGTATAAAATTTTGTGAGTTTATATTTAAAAGGAAGACTTTCTGTATTCTATATAATTATTTCAATAAATACTTAGTTAGAAAATATAAAATATTAAGTATATTTAATACAATAATTTCGATTTTATAATTATTCTAGAATAATCATGTACATATTTGTATTTTTACAGTTTACCATACACATACAGTTAATGCTGTACAACGCTGCTATTGCGAATCGTATCAGTGAGTGATAAATTACTTTTTTTTAAATTGACGTTGCGCATACAATTATAACTTCTTTGCACGATTACAAATTCTTAAAAATTGCACCCTCAAAAAGGATTTCTGTTACTGAGACAAAAAATATTCTTGACGCATTTATATTTCTCGCACAACCTCATTTAGTATAAAAATAAGACAATATCAAAATAAAATCAATACTTCTTATTCTCCTCTATCGAATTAAAAAAGAGTGACTTACTATATTGAGGCAAGAGTAACTTATATATAAACGTAAGTTTTTATGTTCTTGCGTTTAGAATAAATTTTCCCTCCGTTTTACAACGCACAAAGTTGGCACCACGATATTCGTTAAAAGACGACACATACTAGCGTTCTATTATAGATTTTAGAATTTTTCATTTAAGATTAAAATATTCTTTTCTCTCCCCCCCCCCTCTCTCTCTCTCTAATAAATATGATTGACGCTATATCGATCCTATTTTATGATGTATTGAAGTGTAATAGCATTGGATCCGGAAATTGTTTCTGTGGGTGTGCCTTGCACATATGCATCTCATAGATAACAATATGCGTCGGCGCTAACAATAACGATTGTTGAAACATAGGCATGTCCTCCGTTGCAATAGGAGAACATGATGAAAATCTATTTGAAGTTTATGTCTTATGGAGTTAGATGCTTATTAAAAGTGTATGTTTCTAGTAAAAAAAATAACATTTCGATTTAATAAGGGATTTGTAGATTTTTCCGAGCAAAGTCAGAACTTCGTGCGGTTTAACTCGTCTTTTGCAAAATTTAAAACAGTAATGTAAATTTTGTTATTGAACTTATAATTAATGTCGATATGAAATGAACTTTAGAAAAGATTAGGTATCAAATTCACTTTCAATTGGTACGAAGATCTTTTCTTGGCAATATTACGAGCTTACAATTAGTTCACTGAAATAGTTGATTCGGATCTCCAATGTATAAATGTATGCATCTCGGACTTCTAATCGGGGAATCGAACACGCAACGTGGCTTATCTTGCGTCTCGCAAACTCGACAGTGAAGACGGCGGAAGATAGATGATCGTTTCCACGCGATTCACGATATCCTCGAGAAAAATCGTGCTCGTGTCTGACGAATGCGGACCGTTAACCGCCGGAGAGTCGCCATTAAAGTGTCTTGTCGTGAGTTAAGCTCGCGATTTGTATGCACGAAGTGTACCGAACGTGACACATCCGATCGCGATCCCGACCGACGTCTTGCCCGAGCAAGACAGACGTTTTTTTTTTCTTTCAAGCGCAATGATTAGATCGTCCAGGCAGATAAAAAGGATAATCGCAATGACTAATTTTGTATTGGATGGTTGGAGTTTCTCACAGAAAGAAAAGAAAACGTTCGCGAGTTTTATTTATTTCTTGAAACTGTTGATTAACATATTTTTTTATGAGTTTGCAAGCGCTTTTAGTTCAGTACTGATCTTATGTCAATTACGAACTCTGTATGCATCTATGTATACGAAGTTTACTCGTAATTGACATAAGATCAGTACTACAGGGTGTTTTTTAAAGACTACCGCTGCTTTATTAATCATTTTAGAAAAAAAAATGGTTCAAGACTTCTGGCATTAGACCTCGATTTTTAGTAAAGAATAGCATTATGTAATTAATGGGCGGTCTTTAAAAACATCATATAACGCGTTTTTATTCTTGGTAAACAAATCGAAACAGACGTCTTCTAAAACTTGTCATTTAAAGGAACAAATGTTATAAAAAAACGAGACATTTCAGAAATATTAATTATTACATTTCGCGCTACACTTTCATAATATTCGAATCGGAGTCCTAAATTTCGTCGACGAAGAAAGCAGGAAATCATTGCGTTTCGAGACGTTTCCTGACGTTCTACGCCCATAACTAATTAATATAATTAAAATCGATCTAAATCTAATTTGGTGGAAACGTGCGTTCGTTAACGCAAACAAAATGCTTTCTACTTTGCTCCTGGTAGCGGCGCGGAATGAAGATCGCGTCTTGCATCGCCTACTTTGCGCCTGCGTCCCTAATCTCGCCATTGTCTCGTGAGGATTATTTCGCGGCGGAGGTGGTTAATTGCACGTCGCTGTCGACGCGCGTGGGAAAGCGCTAACGATTTCCACGCGTGATTTCACGAGCTACGTTATTTCGTTCGTATCGTTCCGATTCGAAGGGAACAAAATTGAGAATCCATTTACGTCATCATTGAGTCTTTTCTTTTGCGTTTGTTTTAACATTATTTAGAATTCGTCGAGCTACTTTTCAGGCTCAGTCTCGGAATAAACACTGGACACATTTCGATAAATATTCATCAAAACTAGAATTTTCTGTCCAAGTGCAAATGTTTGTAGAGTCGAGCAAAATCAAGCGGAAATTGATTTTTATTCAAGCTGAGCTGAGATCGAACGCTCTTTAAAATTAGGCACATCTAATAAAAACTTTTATAAATGTTTAAAAGAAGATATAAAAATATTGTTTGCTTTGTTTAAAACTTTTTTGCGTTGTATCAAGTAGTCTTCATTAGGCTCGACTTAATTAGAGCCCGAGATCTGGTAACTGTCAGTCCATCTTTAGTTTCTGTATCATATTATATTTTTCAATTTTAGTTCATTATATTCCCCCGATACTTTCTCAGATTAATCGAGACGGCAAAGAAAAACGTGCAACCTCATTGAATTTTTCGCAAGCTTTTATTAGCGCAATGATTTTACGACGCATCTAATCCACTCGCTTATTTTGGGAAGACGCAACTTCCGTCATGACCCAATGCTTATCGTCGCCGGCGACCGCATATCCTCCGGCGATTACGGAACGAAGATCCATCAGGGACAGGCGGTCTGTCTTGGACGGTTTGCGTGGCCGCCTCCCGTCGTCGCGACGATTGCACGCGTGCGACCCGGTTGACGAGGCAAATTGAACAGCATCCGGAAGCTGCTCCGTGCCTTGCCTCGTCTTACACGGTGTACAATGTCGCGGAAGCTTTCGATCGACCAATTTACATTGTCTAATTACTCGTCGCCATATACCCAATTATTTTCCTCGTGCATCGCTTTCCTTTGTTCGAGGACACATGCGGAAAACGTTCATCTTTACAAGCTTGTAATTAGTATATGTTTTCATCACCGATTGTTGCCTCTCGTTAATTTTAGGAATTAAATCGCGTTATTATTTCTGCATTTCAATGGGGAGATGCATCGAAATTTCGTATTTCTATATTTTCGGTTATGCAAACTCAAAGCGGGGTCTCTTCCGGATCCCCCGCGGTTTACGTTGGAAATTGCGTTACACGTAGAAATAATACATAGATATTGTATTGCGGCGGCGCTACAATACGCTGGTATTCGATTTCCAGACAGAATTGAATAGAAATTATATTTACCTCACTTTCAGAAACTCCCCGCGCGCTACATTCGCAATAACGCAACGGCGCGCTTTTGCGTGCAAGCGGCTCGTGCATTTCGTTACGAAGGAAATCCTTGCTCGAGGCTCCAAAATAAATAGATAAAACCCGATGTAAATAGAAAAGAAATTTCGCCCCAACGGAAACACCTCCGCCGGAATCATTCGCGGGCGTGAAATTTGGAATTCGCGGCGCGATTACGCGCGACTGATAAATCCGTCGAAAATAGAATCGCCTTCGCGATCTCGTAATCCTGACTCGAGTCTTCTCCTCGTCATCGTCGCCCCTCCTCGCGCCGCGCGATGATTTCGCACGAGCCGATTGGCGCAGCGGGCTGACACGCCGGAATCCTCCTCGTCGACAGAGTCCTCGGCGCCGGATGCGATAAAACGGCTCGTCGCCGTCGTACTCATCGTCGTTCGCTCTTCCGACCCGACGCCGATATAAGTGCGTTCACGCCGTTCGCCGGGCGGACGTTGCGAGAGCGGCGCGGATAAAAGTCGGTGAAGTGTGCTAGGTCATTGCTTTTCAGCGACCGAGCCGAGTGATCCGTCACAGTCGTCGCGGTACACGCGGTCCTGACCGGTCACCGGGTGATTTCGACTCCTATCATTTTCCCTGCTCGCCAGTCCTTCGTCTTCTTTCGCAACTCCTCATCGTGCCGCGGTTTACCGAACGAGCCCGATCCGCGTGCAAGCAACGTGCACGTAGTCACGCGTGTGCCTAGAGCAGTCCGTTCGGAAAAGTCAGTCGGCGTGCGACGATCGGTATTCATATCCTCCATATGTATGGTTCTGTATAAATTGAGAGGGGATATTCGATTGAAAAGGAAGAAGGAATACGCGCTCAGTTACTGGCGCGCGCATCCGGAGGCTGACCACGCGGGCAGAAAGCGAGCTGTCGCGAATTTGTAGGGATTGATCGATGGCTCGATACATCTCGAGGGAGTGGTCGCGCTGTTTGCCGTTTGACGATGACGCGCAGATAAGGCGCGTTTAATTGAGGGGAAGGAGGCCGGGTGTCCCACTTGTTGGACCATTACCGGTGTGCTTGCAATACGAGAGTCCCGTCGTCGCGAACGAGGGAAAAGTGTTCCGCGTTGGGGGCGATTATCACTCGATTGCGCGGCCGTCATCGCGGCGGCGTCAGGATGAGCCGCAAGAAGGTGTGGAACTCCATCGTGCGACGGAAGAAGAAGAATCACTTGGACTTGCGCGCCAAAGACGAGAACTCACCCTCGGGCAACGTTTGTAAGTTTACGAGGAAATCGCGCGTCTTGGGTTTAGAGAGAAACCTCCATTGGCGATTTCTCGCCTCGGCGGCGAGCGATTCGGATGCACGGATAAGCGCGAAATGCACGGAGCGTTATTTGCCTGAAAATATGAAGGTTCTTCTCTAAAATGCAAGCGTGCCGTTGCTTTCTTCTCGCCTCGACTCGTACGGTGGATTTCTTCGCTAACACAAACCGTGCTATGTACACTGCTACTCA